CACATAGAGCTGAAATTTGGTGTGGTTATAGCTGAAAAAGTTCCCAATCGCTTACTGAATCCAAATAAAAAATCCAAGATGGCCACCATAGCTTAAACGAATAATTAAATATAACTCTGATTTGTTGCCAGATTGAGCTGATGTTCAGTATACTGGCAGCTGGGAGCGAACCCCAACACACAGTACTGTCAAATCAAAGTTTCGTAGCAGTCCCCGTCACAGTTTCTCCAGGAACTTTCTAGTTCTTAATTCTGCAGAAATTTTACGTAGAACAAGTTGCCACTAAAAGTAAATGATAATTTTTCTCATCGTACATTCAAATGAATCAACAGCTCACTGTTGAACAGAGATCCCTCTGAATAAAAACAATGAGGTAAACACATGAACAGTAATAAAATGTTTGTTGTACTTCTAACTTTTGTCCAATTTTACCGTAAAACAAATGCCGAGTGTTTGTAATACGTGTATCTTTTGAATTTAAAGGACGGTGTAAAAAGAGACGTTTCCTTCAAACGAGTAATTAAATTGTTCTTTCTAAATCAAAGACCTTCTGACCTTCTTCACGGCACTTCTCCCTCCACAGCAGGTTGTCCTCAGCCAGGATCCTCCAGTACCTGCAGGTCTGGGCGGCCTGCAGCAGGTCTCTGGGATCCAGGAAGGTCAGCACGTACAGGGCGAGCTGCGAGCGGGACCACAGACCTGGACTTTAGAAGCTGTTCTGGTGTTTAAAGCGGACCGGTGGTCCGGTTCTGCGGCCGTACCTCTTTGGGCAGCAGCGATATGAAGTCTCTCTGGAACTGGGGCTCGATGACCTGCATCAGGTGCTTCACCTGACCGGACTCGCAGCGGTCGATGAGCTCGTCCAGAGCCAGGAGCCTCTCAGGACCGCTCCACGCCTGCAGGAGGACAGAGCTTTACCTGCTCAGGTGTTTTCCTTCAGTCAGCATTCACTCTTACAGTTCTTTGTTCGTTTCTTTTCCCCACAATCAAACTACTTCAGCAGACTTGGTCCTATTTTAGCTGTTCATGAATCAAAACGTTCAGCTCGTTCACGAGATATTTGCTGCGACTTTAAATGTTTGTTACGTTTCAAAATATTTGACTTTATCTACAAATATTTTCCCACAAAAACACGCTGAGATCTTTTCAGTTGCTTTAAAAATGTCTCCTTAAGCTACTGGCTCTATTTTTTGTTTTCTTCAGCTACGTTTAGCATTTAGCTACATTTCTGCTACAATTAGTTGTTTTGTTTCCATTCTGCTAATTAGAGATTTCAGCTATCCTTTTGCTACTTTTAGCATTTAGAGAGCTCTTGGTTGCTTTTAGTTATCATTTTACTACTTTTAGCTGATTTTAGCTAATCTCATTACTAATTTTAGTTATCCTTTCACTACATTTAGCCTTTAGCTAACCATTTGCTGTTTGTAGATAAGATTTTTCTACGTTTGGTTTTAATTAACCTTTTGCTTCTTTTAGCTTTTAGCTAGTATTTACATTTCTTTAGCTGTTGCGTCGTGCTTGTTTCAGCTTTAAAGGCTGGTTTTTACTCCACAAGACGTAAGACATCTGTTCTTGCTGATGCGGTTGCGAGACGTTCTTTTTCACATGGGCATTTTATACTCAAAGAGAAACCGAGGGGGAGAACTCTCGGTTAGCTCCTCCCACTGAAGCGCACGTCACGTGCAAACAGAAACAACATGGCGGCAGCACGGTTGGCAGCGTGGATTAGAGTTGCATTCGGGCCCAAAAATCCGACCCGGCCCCAGCTCGTAACCATCATTTCCGAACCCCACCCGACAAATTAACAGTCATTACAGGTCTGAACCCGACCCCCCCCCCCCCTGACATTTTTAATTAAGCTTTGACTGCTTATAGTTATTAACGGTCGGCGGACGCACAGCTGAATAAAAGGGGCAGACGATCGGAGCTGAGGGGGTGTTTGTCCTTTCATGGCTGTCAAAGCTCATTAAAACCCTGTTTCTGCTGCATTCTGCATTATTCAGACATGGAGCACGCTCTGACATGTCTGCTTTGGGATCTCACCCTTTTGGGTCATCGGCCGCGCGCGTCCGCTGAGTGCAGCGGCTGAACATCCATTTGGGCGACGGATCACTTCCTGGCAGTACAGTCCCATCTGAAGCTTAACTGAACTCTTTACCTCCTTCAAAGCTTTCAGTGAAATGGCCGCGTGCTGCTGGTGAAAGTATGGCAAGTCATGTTGTCATATAATTGGGTCGCAGCTGATCTGCTAACGCAATCAAAAGCCCGAAACCGACCCGGCTCGTCCATCCAGCACATTATCATGGCCCGGGCTTCGGGCTCGGGTTTGAAATGACAGCTCTAGTAAGCAGACGTGTCTGGCTGGTCTGATCAAACTCTCTGACGATACGTGGATGTTCACGTGAATGACAACAAGTTGTTTTTAGGGCACGGAGTCACTAAA